ACAGTTATTGCTTTGGGATAATGACTGAAGTTAATTAGAAGTTTCTTCTGTGTCTCCAAAGAGGTAAACTTTTCAAGGGAGGATCTCATGTTCTCATGACACCTGAAAGACAATAGTCACAGAGGATGTAGGCATGTCAATGTTTCATGTGCCAGAATCTTGCAAAGAAGTGTATGTGCTTCATTGTACTCCAGCTTTCTCTGGGTTCTTCTAAACAAAAAGAAATGGATAATTAATTATCAGGTCCAAGTTTTGTCTGATACTACCACACTCACCAGAACAGGGTAAGTCAGGAATTCAGGGAGAGCCACTGAAGTGTCTACAAAAGGAAAAACTCGATGTCATAAACTGCACTAGAAGTTATAACATTCTTCTAAACTGCATACACATTAATGCAAAATGATGATTTGTAAATGTACTAGGAAAAATAGAAATATCACCCCAGCAATGACACAACGTCTGAATACATTCCTATCCATCACAGTATTTATATGCAACTATTTTTTTTATAAATGAAATCAATCGTTTTATTAAGTATTCAGTAAGCTGAGGCTACCTTCTCAATGGAAAAGCACTGAGTGGGAACCAGAATCCCCCAGAATTATCTTTGCCAAAAAAAGTAGAGCTTTAATTCTTTACAATTTTGCAAGAAACAGAAAAAGTAGAGGCATATCATTTGCTGTCTGAACAGTAAACATCCTACTTTGAGGGTTTTAGGATAATAGAGGCATAGCATTTTACAATTCACACAAGACAACATTACTTCTGCTCCAATTTTAAGCCTTCAGTTCCAAGAACTTGCTGAGTTACAACAATTAAATTCAATAAAGTATCAATGTAGAAAATTGTTGTGATCATGGTCAGGGTCTATTAGATAGAAAATGCTGTGGTTTGGATGAAAAATATCCCTAATAGTCTTAGGCATTGGAACACTTTGTGCCCACTGTTTTAGGAAGGATTGGATGGTATAGCCTTGCTGGAGAAAGTGATTTACTGCCAAACAATATGATATAAAAATCCTTGTATATTTTCTGAACACTTTCTCCTTTTTTTGTTTATGAAGAAGTAAGCTTCCTGTTGGTTCAGTATCATTGCCGTCATCTCTGTTTTATGTTTCTACACCTCCCCACAGTGAAGAACAGTCAGTTTGGACTCTAAAGAACAAATAAACTCTCCCTTCTGTATGTGGTTTCCAGTCATGGTGTCTCATCACAATAAAAAGTGTAACTAATGCTTAATTTTGTATCAATGAGTGGAATGATGATATGAAGACTCGGTGTGGCTTTGGGGGGAATGTGAAAGAGTTTGGAAATTTTAATTATAAAAACAACTGAATGCTACCAGAAGAGCATAATGAAACATTCTAGTTGAAGTCCAAAAAACTTTACTGATGAAAGTAATGTGGACTGTAGAGGCTACCTCAATAGGATTTATAATGAATCAATGACTTTAACAACAATTGTAGTAAAAGCCACTTTGTGGTATTTTTTGTCAAAGAATACATCTGTTTTCTGACTAAATCCTGAGAATTTACATTAAGCAGAATATAAAAGTGATGAAATTATTTCCTTGTCCAATATTATCTAAGATGGCATATTGGTGACTCTGTGGAATGGTTATCACTGATCACTCTTATGAAGGTCTATAGTGAAAAAGAGCAAGTGGGGCAGAAAGCACAGATTGGGAAGAAAGGGCACTGGAAATATTAGGGCTACAACCAAGGCATGACATAGGCTCAAAGAAATGCTGTACATGTTGAGAAGATTAGTGCTACTAAAGAGAAACACCCCAATCCTTATTGGAATAATTAGTAGAGTGTTATCAAGGCAAAATCCTACCCAGCTTAGATTTGAGGGAGTGAAATGATAAAGCCTGAGCAGCTGCTTAATTTTAAAAATAAGTGCTTCAACATACCAAAGATGGTGTAAATATGGTTGATGGTGGTGAGGGCCCATCCAAATACAAATGAGTATCTTCACATTATCTTTCATGTGATACAATTATTGAAGGTATGACAAATGCAAAGTTTGTTCTTTCCATGAATTTTAGGGTACCACCGAGGAAAGATGTTGTATGTGAGGGAGTTCTGTTGAGGACATGGACAACCATTGCCTAAAGCTGTGAAAGTGGAGGCTGGCAAATTGCAAGGTGAGCACAGAAGTTGGATATGTCAGAGTGTGGATATAGTGAGTAAAAAGAGTTTCATAAAGCAAGTACATTAACCTTACAGGATTATGTTATGGGCAACAAATATAAAGGTACATAACAATTTTGAACCTTAAATCTCATACACAAAATATGGAGCTACATATTTTGATGCTTTCCCTACTCAGATGCTATCTTGCTTTGCTCCAATATTTAATCACTATGTACCCATACTTCACGGTTAGTATTGAAATGCATTTTCTCTAGCAGTCTGTGTTGAAAGCATTAATATGAGTTTTGATATTATAGTGGATTATATTTAAGAAATTGCTTTTAGACTCTGAAGAAACTTTAGATGTTGTACTTTTGAACTGTGTTCTGATTTGTAAACTTGTCAAAATGAATGCATTTTGTATCATAAGATGATCATGAGCCAGTGGGAGACAAGAGGATAAGTCTAACTGAATGAGAAATGCCTTAGCATGTGAACATTTGGTTCCAGGTTGGGGTTGTTCTATCAGATGTTACAAAATAGCTAAATGATGGAGAATCAATGAAAGCAGTACAATAACAGTGGCTAGTTGTGAGAGTTTATATCCCATATTCACCCCATATTTGAGCCTTGTGTGCATTTAACTGTAATCTCTTCACTTCCTATTCTGGTGACCAGCTTCCATCTTTCCCTTCCTTTATATATGCTCCTTCTGAAAGCATTAGATTCAATTGCTGGGGATGTCTTTTTGTATGCTATGAATGTGCTGCTCTGATTGATTGATAAATAAAATGCTCACTGGCTAATAGCCAGGCAGGAAGTATAGTAGAGGTGGGATAAGCAGAGAGGAGGAGTTTGGGAAGTGGAAGACTGAGTCAGGAGATGCTGCCAGCCACTGCTACCATGGGAAGTAAGATGTAAAGATACTGGTAAGCCATGACCCATGTGGCAAGATATAGAACTAGATAGCAAGAAGCCTGCCATGGCCATACAGTTTATAAGTAATATATGCCTCTGTGTGTTTACTTGGTTCTGAGCAGCTGCAGGAGCCTGGTGGACACAGGAAAACTTCAGCTACATTCAATATACTATTTCATATATAAGTTGTCAGGGTTGTGATATTTTGTAACAACCATGGAATGTAGCTAGAGTTTTCCTGCCTTGCCCATAGTCAGGACAAATCTTTGTCACCCGCCAGTCCCACAACCACTCAGACCCAACCAAGTAAACACTGAGACTTATATTTCTTACAAACTGTATGGCCATGGCAGGCTTCTTGGTAACTGTTCTTACAGCTTAAATTAATCCATTTCTACAAATCTATACCTTGCCACATGGCTCGTGGCTTATGGGTACCTTACATCTTCCTTGTCCTGGTGGCGGCTCCAGGCAGTGACCCCTTCTGTCTTCCTGTTCTTTTATTTCTCCTCTCTGTTAATCTCACCTATACTTCCTGCCTAGCCACGGCCAATCCAGTTTTATTTATTGACCAATCAGAGCACATTTATTATATAGACCATCCCACAGCACAGCCAAGTGCAGACCATTTCAGACACCTGGTCTCAGGCTCATGGTCCTAATCATCCTCTATGTGGACCAGCTGGGTAAAACCATGAGGAACCCAAGAACAGGCTCCCACAGGACATACAGAACATCCCACAGCACTTCCTCCCCTTCTTTTTTTCAAAAAGGAAGGTTTTAAACTTAACAAAGTAAAACTACATATAATTTGGGAATTTGGGTGTAGCTTCTCTTACTACTTCCTGCTGGAGGGGGCACTGTATCTTATGGGGATACAAAGAAAATTTTAGGATTATGGAATAGTCCATGAGACTGTATTGCCTGAGCCAGTTGCCTTCAAACCATTTTGGATGTTGGATCATCTGGGCCATGGTGTCATCGGAGACCTTTCAGGGGGTCTTGGCTGGTCAAACCTGATGTATCTTAATCTGGAACAAATCCATAGCCTCTGGCTTTCTGTAGGAACAAAAGCAGAGTCTCCTTTCCAAAGCAACACATCCTTATATCCAAATGTTAAAGTCAAGGTATCTTTAATGTATACATATTGGTTTCACTCAACATCTTTTACGATCAAATGTTTTTCTGCAGTTAAAAATCCCAAAGACAACACAATCCAGATTCTCTGTGTAATATTCATTTTTACGTGGATTATTTTTTAAATTAATTTTACTATCTCTTTAAAGACTTTATTTTTTTAAACTTTCTATTTCTTTATATAACTATGTTCCTTTTCCTCTCTCTTCCAAGCCTACGTACATTTTTACACACATTGTAAACTGTTTAGGGTTTTTTCCATCTGAATCTGTCTTATTGTGAATCTATTGCTTTAAACTGCAGCATTTGTAAGCTGAAACGGTGCTATGGCTGCTGGCTCTGCCCACCTCAGCGTCCCAACATGGCGGTGGTCCATTTACCACCAGCTCTGGTAGCTATCGTGGGTCTATGGATTTATCCAAGCAGAGTGTAGCCCAGAAACCTTTTTTGTTTTGTACTAGCAAAGGCTAAATCCACAACTCATCTTAATGTGCCACTTGCAGAGGCCTCATTCCCACCAAACTACAGATCAAGCACACATGCTAGGAACACACCAGTAGCTCAAATCGGCAAGCTGCCGCTCATTTGAGAGAGACAATTAGGAAGCTGTTTTTAGCTCCGTTTTAGATTCTTTTCTCAGGTTTTAGGTAGAAACTCTTGCCAACACGTTGGACACCATTTGTAGATGTAACCAACCATCTTATTAAATAAGAAACACAGAACCAATGTAAAGAAGAAAGCCAAGAGGTCAGAGTTAAGAGCTAAAACCTTACCCTTCCTCCTGTGGTGGTCCTACCTCTCCGAACCAGAGCTACTTCCTGTGTGTCTGTCTTTTTAAAGTGTTTCTGTTCTGCCTTCTCATTGGTTGTAAACCCAACCACATGACCACCTTGTCACAGCCTGTCTGTATAGACCTCCAGGTTTTCTATTGATTGGTATTGAGATTAAAGGCATGTGTATCCAATACTGGCTGTATCCCTGAACACACAGAGACTTACCTAGCTCTGCCTACCAAGTGCTGGGATTACAAGCATATGCCACCACTGCCCTGCTTTCCTATGGCTTGCTAATAGCTCTGACCCCTGGGCAACTTTATTTATTAACATACAAATAACATTTGAGTACAAATAAAATATCACCATAATGGATGATAACTAACACACACACACCCATACTCCTTCCCAAATCACTTTTTTTCAATCCCTCTTTCACTCATCTTAACCCAAGATCCATTGCTTTTACTGATAAGGTGTAAATGACATTCACCCATGCAGAAACACACAACACACTTGGAGATGGCATCCTTGGAACCAGACTGATGGCACTATTTATGGAAGTTCTGGAAGCATTGGGAAGTAAGATCTATCAGTAAGAAGAGGGTAAATCTTTAGTATGTCTGTTGGGGACAACCTTTGTCTCTTCATGTCTGGCAGCTATAAAGAGATTTTCCAATGAATTTGGATCATGATCTTGGATTTCAGCTGTCTGTTTTTTCCCTGTCTCAGCTGTGTCACTGTATCTCATGACTCTTTAATCCTTGTGGCTAGTACTAAATTTGGGAGCTGTACATTCTTATGTGCTATACTCAAATCAAAAAGAGCAATGCAATGAGCTAGCTGTTTGAAACCTGGGACTTATGCAGGGACGCTTGGCTCAATCTGGGAGGAGGGGACTGGACCTGCCTGGACTGAGTCTATCAGGTCTATCCCAGTCCTCGGGGGAGATCTTGATCTGAAGGAGGTGGGAATGGGAGGTCTGCTGGGGGGAAGGGGAGGGGGACAGGAAGGGAGAGAACAAGGGAATCTGTGGCTATTATGTAGAACTGAATAGCATTGTAAAATAAATAATAATAATAAAAATGAAAAAAGAGCAATGCAAATAGAAAGACTATAGGAGTTCAAGCTTTACTAGAAAACTGTCACAATATGTGATGACTGAGAACAGGAGATAAAAAATAGTAACCTTCCATGTTTAAAAACGGACATTGTTAAGAGCTGACTTACATCACCATAAGAAAGATTACCTGTGGCCTCTAGGACCCAGGCCCTGGGACACAACCAGTCACCAGGAACCCCATGCTTCTGATAGCCCTCACCCTGCAATACCAGTGGCTCTCAAAGACACAGAATCTGCCAGCTCTCATTGGACCAAGAGAGGCTTCCTGAGACACAGAATCTGCCAGCTCTGATTGGAACAAGAACCCTGATAAGACCAAGAGTGGCTCCTTGAGCCACAAAATTAGCTAGCTTAGATTGGACCAAGAACAGTTCCCTGAGATACAGAATCTGAAAGCTCCAATTAGACCAAGAGCTAAGACTGGACCCAGAGGGGCCTCCTGAGATACAGACACAGCAATCACAGGTTGGACCAATAGCAAATTGCTCAGACACAGGCACCCCTTGCACCTATTGGAGGAAGAGATGGGTAGACACCAGTGTAAAAATACATACAACAACATAAAGAGCAAGATGGCATCACCAAACCTATTTCTCCTACAACAGCAAGACCTGAACATCACAATATAAAAGAAGCAGAAGAAAGTGACCTTAAAAATAACTACATGAAGATGCTAGAGGCCTTTAAAGAGGCAATGAAATATTCCCTTAAAGAAATTGAGAACAATATCTTCAACAAATGGTGCTGGCATAACTGGATATCAACATGTAGAAATGGCAAATAGTTCCATATGTGTCACCCTGCACAAAACTTAAGTCCAAGTTGGGAATCAAAGACAACAACATAAATCCAGTTACTCTGAACCTCATTGAAGAGAAAGTAGGAAGTAGTCTTGAATGCATTGAGACCATTTTCTAAATGTAACACCAGTAGCACAGACACTTAGAGCAACAATTAATAAATTGGACCTCTTGAAACTGAGAAGCATTTGTAGAGCAAAGGACATGGTCAACAAGACAAAATGACAGCTAGACAATGAGAAAAGATCTTCACCTACCTCACATCTGACAGAGGACTGATCTCCAGAATATATAAAGAACTCAAGAAACTAGACTTCAAAATACCTAAAAGTCCTATTAAAAATGGTCTATAGAGCTAAACAGAGAATTCTCAATAAAAGAATCCTAAATGGTTGAAAGACATTTAAGGAATTACTCATCATCCTTTGTCATCGGGAAAATAGAGATACCATCTTACTCCTATCAGAATGGCTAAGATCAAAAACACTGAAGACAACTTATGTTGGAGAGGATGTGGAGCAAGTGGGAAACTCCTACACTGTTGGTACGAATACAAATTTGTACAGTCACTTTGGAAATCAGTGTGGCAGTTTCTCAGAAAATTGGGAATCAATCTTCCTCAAGACCCAGCTATACCACTCTTGGGTATATACCCAAGGAATGCTTAATTTTGCCACAAGGACACACACTCAACTATGTTCATAGCAGCATATGTGTAATGCCAGAACCTGGAGATCACATAGAAGCCCTTCAACTGAAGAATGGGTAAAGAAAATGTGGTACATATACACAATGGATTACTACTCAGCAGAGAAAAACAATGACATCATGAGGTTTGCAGGCAAATGGATGGAACTGAAAAACATCAACATGAATGATGTAACCAAGACTCAGAAAGACAAACATGGTATGTGCTCACTCACAATTGCATACTAGATATAAAGCAAAGGATGACCAGACTGCAACCCACAGCTCCATGAATGCTAGCTAGTAAGGAGGACTCTAGGAGGTTGAATGGATTGCCCAGTGACAGAGAAATGGATGAGGTCTACATGATCAAAGTAGGGATGAGGTGGAGTAATGAAGGGCAAGGGACAGGGGATAGGAGCTTAGGTGAGTGGGAGGTTCAAGCTGGAATGGGAACAGAGTGGGAGAGTAAGGAAGGAGATAACATAATAAATGAAGACACTGTGGGAGAAGTAGAGTGCAAGGCAGGTTTTCAGGAATCCACAAGGATGACTCCACTATAGACTACTGGCAATATTGGAGAGGATGCCTGAGCTGGTCTACTCTAGTCATCAGATAGCTGAATACCCTACCTGACATCATAGAACACTCATCCAGTGACTGATGGAAGCAGATGCAGAGATCCACATCAGGGTCCCAGGCAGAGCTCCAAGAGTCCAATTGATGAGAGAGAGGAGGGATTCTATGAGCAAGGGATATCAAGACCATGATTGGAAAAAGTACAAAGAAAACTAGCCAAAAAAGTGGAAATGCATGAACTGTGGACCAATAGCTGAGGAGCCCCCATGGTATTGGACTAGGCCCTCTGGATAAGAGAGACAGTTGTTTAGCTTGAACTCCATAGGGGGCCCCCAGAAAGTGGGATCACGACCTGTCCCTAGTGCATGAGCCAGCCGCTTGGAGCCTAGTGCCTATGATGAGATACTTTGCACAGTCTTGGTACAGGAAGAAGGGGCTTGGACCTGCCCCAACTGAATGTACCAGGTGTTGCTGACTCCCTATGGAAGACCTTGCTATGGAGGAGGTGGGAATGGGGGTTGGTTTGGGGAGAAAGGCTGGGGAGCAGGAGGAGGAGGACAGGGGAATCTGTGGTTGGTATATAAAATGAATAGAAAAATATCTTAATTAAAAAAGAAGTGATACATTCACAGTTATTGAAGGTATTCAGTTCAATTTGCTGATAAAAATGAGCTAAGAATCTATTAAACATTGGACTCCTTATGAGATGCTGGAATTATGGACAAAATATTGTACAAAGGTTTATTGTGATCAAATGATCTGGAATTATTGCCAGTGGCTGGGATTCAAGTAAATGTAGCTTTGCTTTAGGAAACAGTTATATAGTCTGTGTTATATGTATCTTTTAAAAAAAATAAAATATAAGGAAAAAAAGGAATCGAGGAAAAGACAAACAAAAAATTGGAAGAAATCAATAAATAAATTGAGGAAAAGACAATAAATTGGGAGAAATCAATAAATAGCTTAAAGAAAACCATGAAAAAGCAATTGAACATATGTAGGAAACAGTTCAAAACCTGAAAAGTGAAATAGAAACAATGAAGAAAACACTAACAGAGGAAATGCCAGGAACAGAAAATATGAGTAAATGAACACATATGCAAGGATAACTAACAGAATACAAAAGATTAAAAAGAGAATTTCTGGTGTAGAGTATACAATAGAGGAAATAGATTCATCAGTCAAAGAAAACACCAAAGCCAAAATAGTCATAACACAAAATGTCCAGGAAATCTGGGGCACCATGAAAAGGCCAAACCTGAGAATAATACAGATAGAAGAAGGAGAAGAATGCCAACTTAATGGCACAGAAAATATATAAAACAAAATTATGGAAGAAAACATTCCCAACTTAAAAAAGGAATATCTTTGAAGATACAAGAAGCTTATATAATACCAAATAGACTTGACACTCCCCCAAAGTCCCCTCACCAAATAATTAAAACACTAAACATACAGAACAAAGAAAGACGATTAAGAATAGCAAAGGAAAAAGGCCAAATGACTTATAAAGGCAGACACATCAGAATAATACCCAAATTCTCAATGGAGACCTTGAAAACCAGAAGGTCCTAGACAGATGTAATGCACACACTAAGAAACCATGGATGCCAGCCTAGACTAATATGCCCAGCAAAACTTTCAGTAACCATAGAAAGAGTGAAGAAGAAATTCCTAGAAAAAAAAAATTTAAACAATACTTATTTACAAATCCAGCCCTAGAAATAGCACTAGAAGGAAAATTCCAACCTCAGGAAGTCAGATACACACACAAAAACACAGGCAATAGATAACCACACAGCAGTAAATCCCAAAGAAGAGAAATATCACTCTACCACCAAATGATAACTGGAATTAGCAATCACTGGTCATTAATATCACTCAATATCAATGGACTTAATTCACCTATAAAAAGACACAGGCTAACAGAATGTATATGAAATCAGGACCCAACCTTCTGCTTCATACAAGAAACACACCTCAACTTCAAAGACAGGTACTACCTCAGAGTAAAAGCCTGGGAAAAGACTTTCTAATCAAAGGGATTTAAGAAGCAAGCTGGTGTATCTGACAAAATAAATTTCAAACTAAAATCAGTCAAAAGAGATTGAGAAGGACATTACATACTGATCACAGGAAAGATCCACCAAGATGAAGTTTCATATAGGGCCCTGGCTCCCCATATTTGAGTAAACTGTTTGCCTGCTGCCGCCTTGACCAGATGTCCTCCCTATGCTAATTCCCTGCTGGTATCCACCCTCCTGAATGCTTAAGGGAAGTTCCTTGTTTGTATATCCTGAATATTGGACGTTAACAGCTTAGATGCAAGAATGTAGAACATTCAGTAGCAAAATTCTGTCCTCTGAGGTTCTCCCATTGTGCTGTAAGACTGTATGTAAGGTTTCCTCACTCTTTCAATAAACAGCATTCAACATTCTGCTGTGGCAAATGACTCGATGTCTTTTGTCTCTGTTTTTGGATCCACAGCCCCTTGCTCGGATATGGTGAATGGGTAGTGGTAGCACGGCGTTATTGCTACAGTTTCAATTCTGAACATTTATGACCCAAATACAAGGGTACCCACATATGTAAAAGAAACATTACTAAAGCTTAAATTTCACATCAAACCACACATTAGTACTTGGTGACTTCAACACCCCTCTGTCACCATTAGACAGAACATCCAGATTGAAACTTAACAGAGAAATAAGGGACCTAACAGATATTATGACTCAAATGGACTTAATTGATATCTACAGAACATTCCACCCCATACACGGTTTGAGTAGCGAGCACATACCCTGGTTACCGGGGAGGAATAATCACTCTTGATTCAGACTTGGTATAACACTCATTTATTCACATAGTAAGATTACAAGCAATATTCATCCTGTCTTCCAAATGGAAGCAGGAGTACCTCTCCGGGTGTACAGGTCCTGACTCACCACGTCTGTTCCTCTGGATCTTGGGTCAGCCTTGCTCAGGTCAGCCACATCTGCACTGGGGACAGGATCTCACATCTCTGGCAGAGGAGAGTCCTCTTGCACAAGGGCCTGACTAGCTCTGTTGGTCAGGTCTGAGGCTTCATCTTTTATATTCTTTTCTGGCTAGGTTTCTAGTCTTATCTCTACTTCCACACATAGCTTATAGCTTATCACTACTCCATTTGTGGTTTACTTACATCATTCTATTGCTTATCACTCCTGACCAGGGTTGTTCACCCTAGGCCTTACATGTGTTCCTTACAGTTTGGAAGACCAAAATGAGGAGGGGGAGGAGGAGGAGGAAGAGCTATCATCAGAGGACCCCCTGCCAGGACAGACTTATCATAAATTAAATTTCTGCCTTCTTGATAAGCTGAAATCTGCCTATGCTCAGTATGGTCCTATGGCTCCTTTTACATTAGCCTTGTTGGACAACCAGAGCAAACATTGGTTGACCCCTAATGATGGGTATTTCCTTGCCTGCATGCACGGCTCCTTCTGGGGGTGACTTTGTCCTCTGGAAAACTGAATTTATAGAAAATGGTTGAGAAGTTTCTCAAAAAAATATTGAACAGCCATCCTCAATAAGTTGGACTCTAAAGAAACTCTTTGGCAACCCCCGCTTATGATACAAATGCAGCACAGGCAAAATTCCTTCCTGGCCTCCTGGCCCAGATCCAAAACCCTGCGGTCCAGGCCTGGAAACACCTGCCCCAAAAGGGTTCAACTACCACCTCATTGGCAAAGATTCGTCAGGGCCCGGATGAACATTTTAGTGATTTTGTCTCTCACTTAAATGATGCAGCCAAGAGATTGTTCAGGCCAGACAAAAATAAAAGTACCTTTGTTAAATACTTGGCCTTTGAAAACGCAAACCCTGCCTTCCACACTATGCCCCCGTGGCAACAAGAGCCATCACTGGACTAGAGAATACAGGTAACAAGGGTACCTATTTTGAAGTTTTGACATAGGAAGAGGCCTGGCAGCCAGAGAATAAATGGCATTGGCAGATGAGGAAGGCTTGATTTTTGGGTGCTCACTCTGGACCTGCTATTGGACTGCTATTCATAGTCATGGAAGTATTCAGACTAAATGTGCTTCTAAGTCTAGGAACATCTCCTCTACGTTTTATTTGTGAAGGCAATGAGAATGGAAGTGAGTGCTGATTGGTCAGTTCTCTTCCATTCCAAGGATCACTAGGGCTTGGGGTAACTACTGGTACTTTCAGGATTTGCCGAGGCAACCATGAGTGCCCTGGGCGGCTAGACAGAACAGGGGACAGTTTGTCTCTAGATGGACAATTGCCTGGTGTACAAGACAGGGGCCGTCTCTGAGATCATGCTTCTGCTACAACAGAGTAAGGCCGTTCTGGAGGGGGTGGTGGTGGAAGATCTTGAAGTGTAGGAGGTATTGGCAATGGTTTGTCTGTATGAAGGGAGCCAGAACCAGCCTTAGAAATAGTTCCCAGGACTGAAGTGCTGACAGAACCAGATGCTTGCTGTTGTAGCAGGTCAAGTCTTGGTGGCACTGGAGGGAGGGAAGCTTGCGGAGCCATGGGGAATGGAGAGGAAGGCCTTTCCACCTTGGCACCTGCCAACTCCATCATGAAGAGAGTCAGAAAGGCCAACAGAAAGAAGGGAAGTCTGAGAAGGTCAGCAGCCTTCTGATTCTCATGATGTAAGGTAGGAGAATATTCAGCATTAACACCATTGCTGATCCTCACAGAAACAAATCTAGACTAAATCTTGTTAATGGTGCCATAAAAGAGATACACTCTGCTCCTATATGGTTGCTGGAATACCTGGTTAGAGCTGTAAATATACCTGATCTCCCCTGGAGAGACAGCCCCTCTCCTGAGGAAACTTCTGTTTCAAATGCTGTCCCTCTGGCAAGCCCTCCAGGTTGTTGTCCTCACCCACAGCAACCTCCACCAGCCCTTTAGCTCTGTTATCACTCTGTTCAGAGTTCCTGTCAGGGGACAGTGGGAACTTTACAGCAAACTGTGTTTGAGACCTTTCACACAGCACACAAGTCCCATAGTCAATCCCGTTCTGGGCTGAGCAGGGACACTGCTTCTTACAAATCCAGTCTGACAGCAGGGCTCATGTTTCCAAGGGCAGTGCTGAATTTTCATCCAAAGTGTCAGAAAGGCTTATTGGACTTGCTGGCCTTGGTGTCACAGGCGGTCATAGCTGTGTTGGGTCAGCTTGATGCAGCCTGTGGCTGGCAGGTAGCACAGCAAACAGGGTAGCACCAGAGAGAGAACACCCATGAAGGAGCAGTGGATACAGCAGTTGGTGAGGGAGTAGGAGCAGGGATGGTCAGTACAGGAGCCCTCATCATCCTTATTGGTACAATGGTAGAAGATGCCTTGTACTAGGCACATGTATGTGCCATAGACCCAAATCTTCCTTGCTCAGTTGATTCTAGCCTTCTGCTTATAATGATACTCTTTTAAAAAAATCCTATAACACTGATGGCAGAGGAAGCCTACCGATCCCATCATATGTAGTGAACCTGCAGACCACTGGGTCAGGTCGCTGTGTTGCCACTCAGGGCACTTAGGTCCCTTCCACTTAGACTAACCTATTATTCCTCAGATCAATTCCTAGATCTCTAGGAAGAGAAACCGCGCTGAGACGACTGCCTTGATGGGAGCCTGTTACTGCCATCACCTTAGCAGTCCTTTTGGGGGTTGGAGCAGCAGAAACAGGCACAGGAATTGCCTCTCTGGTCCTGTCCAACCAACATTACTCTGAACTTCGACTGTCCATAGACAAGGATATTGCCCAATTTGAACAGGGAATTTCTGCCCTCAAGTCATCCCTTTCCTCTCTAGCTGAGGTAGTTTTACAGAACAGGAGAAGCCTGGATCTCCTCTTTCTACAACAGGGTGGCCTTTGTACTGGGCTCAAAGAGGAATGTTGCTTCCTTACAGAACACACCGGGGTAGTCAGGGACAGTATGGTAAAGATTAGAAAAGGGCTAGAAAAAGAGAAAAAGAAAAGGAGAACAAGAGCTTGGGTGGTTCTAAAATTGGTTTTCCACCTCCCCTTGGTTAATGACCCTTCTTTCCTCCCTCCTAGGACCTGTTGTAGGCCTGCTCCTGGTCCTTGCCTTTGGGCCATAGGCACTTTCCCGGCTCACTGGGTTCATCTGAAGCCAAATAACAGACCTGCCAGCCAGGCAGATCCAGGTTCATTACCACTGCCTTGATATGCAGGACTCCCGGGTTGAAATTTCCCCTGATGAGAGATGCCCCATACGGACCCCTTCACTCAGGGGAGGATGCACCTGTGTGTGGGAAGAAGGCTTGCTCAAGGCATGATTGGAGTGCAGCTAGAACTACACAGGCTGGGGACCATGGTACCCCAAAATCCCTAGAGCCTGGGTTATACGCCCTGTTGCATAGAGGTTGTGCAAAAGCAGCCTTGTGCTTATCCATTTCCGCTCCCTCAAAAAACTGCACAGTCCATTGATTCCTGCACTATGGAGATGCCGTGATGCTTGAGTCAGGAGAGACATTCGCTCTCGGACCTTTTTTTCACAACCTTTAGAGGAATAGGGCCTCTGTAATCTTCCATTCCATACAAAGCCTCTTTCAGAGCTCTCCTCTTACACCATTCAAACCTGGTTTATGTTGGCCCTTAGATTTATTACTAAGAAGGGGGAGATGTCAGGGCCAAGGACAGAATCTCTAATTAGTGGAAAAATACAGACCCTCATAAGACAGGGAACTAGATCATTTTACAGTCAGGTTACCTAGCAACAGGACATTGAGTCAGAGCCCTTGACCCTTTCACCCTGTAAACATCCTACATAAACATCCTGTTAGTTTGCCCCACCCTATGCAGATAACAGCTTCTTGCTTCCCCCCACCCTGCAGGAACTATATAAACCCTCCTGGAGAAAAATAAAGTTGCACCTTGATCAGAATATTGTCTTGGTGTATTTCCTTTGTTTATCCTGTCCCTATCATTCTGTCCTTAGGGTGGTTGAGAACCCATTGAAGCCCTGCTGGCCGGGGCATAATAAAGGCAATTTAGAGCAAACCAACAGCCAACATCAAATTAAATGGAGAGAAACTCAAAGTGATTCCACTAAAATCAGGAACAAGACAAGGCTGTCTGCTCTCCCTATATTTATTCAATATAGTACTTGAAGTTCTAGCCAGAGCAATAAGACATCAAGAGGAGATCAATGTGATACAAATTGGAAAGGAAGAAGTCAAATCTTCACTATTTGCAGATGATATGATAGTATACATAAGCAACTCCTGAAATTCCACTTGGGAACTCTTACAGCAGATAAAGACCTTCAGTAATGTGACAGGATACAAGATTAACTAAAAAAAATCAATAGCCCTCTTATATACAAATGATAAATAGACTGAGAAAGAAATCAGAGAAACATCACCCTTTATAATAGCCACAAATAATATAAAATGCCTCAGGGTAACCCTAACAAAGAAAGTGAAAGATCTGTATGACAAGAACTTTAAGTCTCTGAAGAAAGAAATTGAAGAATTAAATGAACTGTATAGGTACAATGCCTGAACAAGATTAGAAATATATGTACAGTATTTACTAACAATATCAATCTCAATATATATAATTTGTATACAATATATAAAAAGTCAATTCAATGTAAAGTATTTATAACTAACAGTTGTCTTTTAAAAGTAGATTCAATACTCTACCTTTTTATTGGTATCATATCTATATGCTCTTTTTTTTCCTTTTCAGTGTAGATTCAATAATCTACCTTTTATTCTATTATTTCTATCTTTTTTTCAGAGGAGATTCAATAATCTAGCTCTTATCTATATCCCCCTTTTTAAAACAAGAACCTTAAACCTAATGTCCTTTGTTTAGCCCTTTTCCTGACCACTAACAACAACTTGTAACCAACCCTCCTAAACAGTGACAGCTATCCCAAACCTGAAACCCACTGAAAGTCCAAAAACCACCTGCTCCTCCCCCAACTCTTGGGAATGTGGGCATTGTGTTCTTAAAATTGCTTCCTGCTATTTGTGGGCAAAGGCACCTTAAGGGAATCCTGAAAAGAAAATTTTGAGGTTAATTGTCAAGTCCTGGGAGAAGTAGTTGCATCATTTGTTATCCGGTCTCTGCATAATGGGAAAATGTAAGACTTGTCTCAAGTCCTTGCTTGAGTAGTCTGTGAATCTGGATCATCTTAGCTAGCCATTTTAAAATTGTCCTGAATAGTTTGTAGTCTAAAGCTGAACTTTGGGTGATGTTAATCAGCTTAATGGCTTTATCACAATCCATGTGGAATCATCATTGTAGGATCCCATCATCTTTTTGGAGATTTCAAAGTCACTGTTAGGTGTGGTCATGGTTTCCTGCAGAATTTTTTTTCTTTTGTGCCTCCTCTGTGGTTTGGCACAATCTTAATTTTATCTGTGGCAGAATCATGTCTCATAGCCAGTCCCAAGTTTGCAATACAATAGGTTCCATTCTTCTTCACCAAGCTATTCTTTGATTTCAAAATTCTGTGAGCAATAGCTGGCTTTCCTTGGGTACCAACAATCTCCAAATGAAGATGGGCAAGTGAGTTTGACCATCCTTTCCAGTGTAACAGTGTATCTGTTTGACTAATCAAAAAGGGATCCATGCTCATGGTAATCTGACACCAGCCACAGCTGAGTCCACTTGCCATTGTCTTTGTTGTCTACTGTTATAAATCCTGGGATGTTTTCTTGGCCTAACATCACAGTCTGATAAGTCTCTGACTCTTGGAACCCATGAACACTTTTCTCTAGAAGATAATATCTTCACAGCAACTTCTCCCTGCCACTTGACTCAACAAACTTCTCCAAACTGACTTTTTCCAATGCTTTTTCGTAACATGATTGTCCTGGCAATTGTTCTATGAACAAGCAGCAGTAAACCCTTCATCCCAGGAAGTAGTGTTGCCATCAACATGATGAGAAGCAGCCAGCAATGTGGAGCAGCAGCCGCTGTCTCCATGGTCCCACTGCCAACGTTTGTGGCCTGGCCCTGGATGCAGTTTCTCCTCGGCAAGCCTCCCAGGCTGGCCTCAAAATCAGGATCCTCCTATCTCTGCCTCCTTTAGTAAATCCTACCATTGTGTGCTACCACAACTGTCTGCATGCAGCTTGTGCCTGAGCTGGGGACTGCACGGGCAAATGGCTTTTTTGTGAATTCCTGCCCCACAAATTGGACACCAAATGTTGATGCATTTCTAAGTGGACTTATTAAATAAAGAATATGGAGCCAGATATAGGAGTGAGGGCCTTAGAGATCAGGGAAATAGTGAGAGCCATCAACCACCTTACCTCACCAGCTCTATAGCTTCCAAAATGCCATGACTTCCTGTTTACCCAGGCTTGGATTACCTTGCTATTCTGCCCATTCACTGGCTCTTAGCCTACCTCCCTCAGTTCCTTGTTATTGCCTATCTATACAGACCTCCAGGTCTCTATGGTTGGTACTGGGATTAAAGGCATGTGTCACCACTCTTGGCTCTGTTCCCTGGTGTGACCTTGAACATCTAGAGACTGCCTTCCAAGTGATTGGATTAAGGGGTTGTGCTACCACTGCCTGACTTTTGTGTTTATGGCTTGCTATTTCCTCTGATCTCTAGGCAAACCTTATTTATTAACATACAAATAAAATATCACCACATTTTAGCAAAATAAAATATCACCACAGTACCCACACATAAGTGGATTATGGTGATATTTTATTTGTACTGAAATGTGATTCTATTTGTATGTTAATAAATAAAGTTGCCTGGGGTCAGAGCTAATAGCAAGCCATAGCAGAAGTCTGGCAGTGGTAGCACACGCCCTTAATCCTGATCACATGACATGCAGATCTCTGTGTGTTCAAAGATACCACCAGCATGGAGATACATGCTTTTAATCTCAGTACCAACCATAGAAGACCTGGAGGTCTGTATAGACGGGCAGTGAAGAGGAGGTAATGTAGTTGGGTTTACAACCAATGATAAGGCAGAATAGAAAGTCAATAAAATGGACAAACACACAGGAAGTAGGTCTCTTGTGGAGAGGTATTATAGCAGCGGCAGTGAAGGGTAAGGTTTTTAATCTCAGCTCTTATCTATTGCTCTGACCTCATGGCTTTTAACTCTGTATTTGGCTCTGTGTTTTTTATTTAACAAGACAGTTACATGTACAGTGGATAATAGATGTAAAGCAAAGGATAGCAAGACAACAATCCACAACTCCAGAGAAGCTAATTAACAAGGAAGACCCAAAGAGGGACCCATGGATTTCCCTGGGATGTGGAAATAGATGAGATCTTTATGAGTAAACTGGGGATGAGGTGTGGGCAATGGAGGCTAGGGGATAGGGATGAGAACATAAGGGAATGGGATGGTAGAGCTGGAACAGGGATGGAGTGGGAAAGTAGTAATATTGATACCATGATAGAGGTAGACATCACAGGGATAGAGAGAAACTCAGTGCTAGGGAAGTTGCCAGGAATTTCCAAGGATGACCACAGCTTGGACTACTAGTAATAGTGGAGAAGATTCCTCAACTGGACTGCCTTACCCAAGTGATCAGATTGGTGTATACCCTAACTATCATCACAGAGCTTATCTCCAATGACTGATGGAAGCAGATGCAGAGTTCCATAGCTAAGCACTAGGCAGAGCTCCAGGAGTCCAGCCAAAGAGAGAGGAGGGGTTCTATGAGCAAGTGCCTCAGGATCATGATGGGAAAAACTGCAAAGATGACCAAACCAAACTAGTGGGAACTCATGAAAGTTGGATCAATGGCTGTGAAGCCTGCATGAGACTGGACTAGACCCTCTGCATGGTGAAACAATTGTATAGCTTGATCTGCTTGGGGGCCCCCCTGGTGGTAGGACCAGAATCCATCCCTGGTGCATGAGTGGGCTTTTTGGAGCCCACTACCTATGACGGGATACCTTGTGCAGCCTTGAGGTGAGGGGAAGGGCTTGGACTTGCCTCTACTGGATGTGCCTCCCCATGGGAGACCTTGCCTTCCTTTGGGGGTAGTGGGGAGATGGGTTGGGAGGGAGAGGCTGGGGGTCTGGAAGGAGGGAAGAGGGAGATCTTTGATTGGTATGAAAAATGAATGAAAAATTTTCTTAATAAAAAAATCTTGCCGGGCGGTGGTGGCACACGCCTTTAATCCCAGCACTCGGGAGGCAGAGCCAGGCAGATCTCTGTGAGTTGGAGGCCAGCCTGGGCTACCAAGTGAGTCCCAGGAAAGGCACAAATCTACACAGAGAAACGCTGTCTCAAAAAACCAAAAAAAAAAAAAAATCTTGAGGGGGAAAAAAAAGAAAGGTTACCTGTAATATAAAGTTTGTAGTTCTATTACTACCAGTCAGGCATGTTCATGGCTCCCAATTCACTACTATTGTATTTTTGTGACTCAATCACAAAACTCACATGAGAACTAATCACAAGCCTTCAATGGGTACATGCTCTATTTGTCACTATGGATTTTGACATAAATGATGAGAACGGGTATTTCTTTTAATCTCTCTTAACTTATAAGACAGATATTATACAGCCAAACAACCAAGGCACAGTGTATTGGTTGAACTGCACCATGATTACTGAGAATGATTGGCTATAGACTAGAGCAGCTATAGATAGAGAGGGACCTCCTAAAAGGGAATGTTGTGGCTTCCCAGGAGCAATGGAGTTAGAATTCACAAGGTACCTGTGAAATTCTCAAAGTTTCAAGAAGCCTAGATGACAATCCTTCATACATAGGAGAGTACTGTTTGGTCTACAGTTCCTCAGGATAGTAGAGCACAAGGCAGTGGCTTAACAGATGTTAATCAAAGGGTCAAGTTATTCAGCTAATTTAAAGGAAACTAAACACTAAATATTGTTTACTATGAAGATCTCTCAATAATATAAACTTCTGAAACAATATCTAATGTCTAATAATTCTACATCAAGCATACTGGAGAGTGTCATCTGCCTGGGATCTGTTTCTTCTGTACTCTTTTTCTGAATACAGTATATGTGTGGACATTATCCCCTTTGCTTCTGTATTTTCTGCACCTAGTATCTTCATAGATACTACTTTCATGCTTATCTTCTTGGTAACTTTGTTCCTTTGTCTCCTTAAGATCTGAAATCTGGGACAGATGAAACCAGCCACAGGCCCACCAAGTGCCCTGAGGCCAGGGTAGGGGCATGCCTCTAAGATGAACAGGTATGTGGTGGAGAAGTGGGAGGGAAAGAGAAGTAGAGCAGTTCATGTGCTGTGGAGAGAAGCATGACTGAAAACAAAGGGAAGGAACAGTCTGATATGTGTGGCTTACACTGTCACCTGGGACAATGTAATGCCAGGTCCTGTTCCACCAAGGGCCATATGTGTGTCTGTGAGACTACCAGATTATCAGATGCCTGGACACTGGACAATCATCTGAGACCACATTGTTGTCAAACAGCAACACTGCCATCAGGGCCATGGTGATGTCTGGAGCCTAACTGCAGCTGAGGGCCATATCTGTGTCCAGGGTTCTACTGCAACTGGGGTCTCTGTTGATGTCTACAGGTTGTGTTACCATCAGGCCATGACAGAATTGGCTCTAGTGGCCTGGGCAACAGATAGCTGCCCCCCTCCCCTGCAAGTGCATCAAAGGAGAGTTGCCTCTATGCAGAGAACAGGCTCCTATTCTTCATGGTCATGGAAAAAATTATCTTCACTTGCCACCTGGTACAATAGGAGAACTGTCATCACACATGGTAGCACTGGCCCCACACCATACTGTGTGCACAGGAGAGCTGACCCAGATTATGTGGTCATGAGAGCTGACCTAAACCTTCATCTGATAGATTGGACCCAGTGTAGGCTCAGACTGACTAACTGAGCTACCACCCAGGCCAACATCCAGGGCTTTGATTTGGCCCACTACAACATCTACTGCATTTATGATCTTTTGGAGTGAATGAAGTGACCAGTCCTGCAGAATCATAGCCCCAGGCTCTCCATGAATAAGGACTACAGCAGGATATCATAGAGCAGTTTTGGTGAGGGTCTATTATTAATAGTATACCAGAAATCAGAGGTATTGAACTAGCCCAATATTTCATTATAATGAATATTTACAAATAAAGCTGTTTGAGTAAAAAGGCATACTGCAGGACACACTACAACTCCCAAGAATGATAAAAGAAATACATATGTGACAGAGATGCAGAGTAGAGGAGAGAGCAAAGTGTTTTATTTATTTAACTGTTTGTTTGTTTTCGTGGAGGAGGCAATAAAGTGGGATGGCAGACCTGGAAAGAATCGGATATGAGTGGGATTATGGTACATGATGTGAAATTCCCAAAGAATTAATAAAATCATTATGTTTAAAAAAGAAAAAAAAAGAAATTGAGGTCTAACCCATTTACTCAGCCTTAATGAATACTACTTAAGTTTCCAGCACATAAGGTATGTTTGCACAGGGTAGAACATTATGGTGCATTCACCCCTACTTTGCTCCTAAGTACCAGAGGAAAACACAAAGCCCTGGAGTATACCTTAAAAATGTGGCTTCCACCACAAATTTTAATATTCTTGTCAACTCATTGAGATTTTCATTTAAAGTATTTTGATCATATTCAACTTCTCTCCCCAAAATTCTCTCAGATCCATTCCTACTCACCCATCTACTTAAATTCAAGTTGTTTTATTTATAAAACTACCATATACAATCTATGTTCTACAAAGCATTATTACATGTAAGATCTATCTTTAAATGTGCTAAACCTACAGGGCAGCAACACTGTTTAAACAATCTGACACTCTCCTCCTAACAGCTATCAAATGCCAATTCCACAGGATGTAGTGACAGGAATTAATGTCTATCTCCTCCCTGCCCATACTGCTTCTATTTTTTTGACTTGCACAAGTCTTGTATGTGCTTCCACATAGTAACTGAAAGTTCAAATCTATAACTGCAAAATTCTTGAGTCATAAAATATGGAATCCGGTAGATACTGACTTGGAAGTTTCATCTCTACTGATTGGCTTTCCTACTGCTACAAGGTGTAATGCTCTCTAGAGGAGGAATAGAGTAATCAATGTTACCCTACAATCAACTATGAGAACAACAAAAAAAAAAAGATTGACCTGGCAAGATAGGCTCACTTACACAACAGTGAAAACTGTGAATGAAATATGTCAAAAATAACCAACCTCATTATGATAGGATATAAGGCCACTCAATGAGGAGTCCAGAACTACAATAATTAATGGGGTTGATTATTAATCAACCTGGCTATAAGCTATAATAAAGAATATACTATTATTCTTTGAAATGATGTTACTGTTAAAATAACAAGTATCATAAATTATTAGACTGATATTTGGAAGGGCATATGCATCTAAACACTTCTATATAAAACATTACAATGATACAATTTACATAATTATGATAAGATTATTTTATTTTTATATTCAGTATCCAGAAAAATAAAAATCTGGAAATAGTAGAACTATGACTTATCACAAAGGGGCTTAAAGTA